CTCCCCTTCCCCCTCCCTCCCTCTTGGGGTCCCTGTGCCATCTCCCCTCCCTCCCCCTCGGGGTCCATGTGCCATCGGCCGCCTGGGGTTGATGGACACTCAGGCGACACCCAGGCCACCTGTGAGGCGGGTTGGTCTCGTCCCAGAACCTTCCCCAGGGAGGTCGCAGTCACACCCCCAGGGGCCGCGACTCGTGTCCTGCGTGGCTGACGTGTAACCTGCCACGGCAGCTAACGAGCTGAGTCACCCTTGTCATCGTGGGCTGTTTAGGCAGGTGATCCGTGACCGCGGCTTCAGCCGGTGGTGTATTCATAGTGGAACTCGCAAGGATTTCGGGGGGGGGGGGCAGCTTTCAAAGCTGCAGGGCGACCCCAGCAAAGACAGAATCCCTCCTCCTCCCACCCCAGATGGTGGATGTGTATGGGTGTGTGAGTGTGAGTGGGGGTGTGCGACAGTGGGTGCGTGGGTGTGAGTGGGTGTGAGAGGGCTGTGTATGTGACTGTGTGTGTGTGTGTGTGAGTGGGTATGACTGAGTTGTGAATGGATGAGTGTGTGAGTGTGTGTATGTGAGTTTGGGCCGTGAGTGATTGCGTGTGAGTGTGAGTGTGTGTGTGTGTGTGTGTGTGTGAGTGGGTGTGTATGACTGAGTTGTGAATGGATGAGTGTGTGTGTGTATGTGAGTTTGGGCCGTGAGTGATTGCGTGTGAGTGCGAGGGCGTAGGAGTGGGTGTGAGTGTGTGTGTGTGTCTGGTTAAGAATAAGTACAGTTTTTAAAGCTGTTAGTCTAGCATCTACTGAATGAGTTGGGGCCAAACCGTGGCCGCGTGTGCCTGCCTCCGTGGGGACAGCAGCCCCCAGCCTGTCTGGTCTCAGGCCAGCCTTGTCTGTGTCATGAAAATAGCATTTGAGCCCATTACTGCAAACACGTATGTATGCAGGTGTGTATCTTCCATTTACTGACCACTGACCTCGGTGTGTCACACTCCTGTGTTAATACAGCGAGTGCTTGGTGGAGCAGTCACAACGCGGACTTACAGGGGGAAGGACTCGTCAGTGTAATGGGGAGGCCCCGCTTTCCTCCCGCTCCAGGTGGCCCGGCAGCCGCATGTGGGGTGCCCTTGGGCTGCTGCGTCCCACGTAGACACAGTGTGTCTGGGCGCTGGGAGGCGGGGTCCTCGGTGAGGCAGACTGGGTGATGGACAGAGAGGGACAGGGGAGAGGCAGTTAGGAAGGAATTTGGCCAGGGCAGGGAGCGGGTGGGGCCGAGGTGGCACAGGGCAGGGAGCGGGCGGAGCGGGGACCGTGGTGCCCTGTCAGTGGACGCTGTGTCCCCCAGCCCCTGCCTACGGCCTGGGACTGAGATGGGGCAGCGTTGGCTGCTCCAGGAGTGGAGGGTGAGGGGACCCGCCTGGAGGGAGGTCGCAGGCCTGAGGGGCGGGGAACGGCCCTTGGCTGGGGAGAAGCAGTATTTCACCCTGTGACGATCCATGGTCATCGCTCACCCTCCTGGAGCCGCCCAGCCCACCGGTCAGGTTTGCTTAAGTGAAGTCCATTCTCTCCCTTAAGAACTGAGCCCTGGCTGATGTGTCCCAGTGGATAGAGCATCGGCCCTCGGACTGAAGGGTCCTGGGTTCGATTCTGGTCAAGGTTGTATACCTCGGGTTCAGGTCCCCGGCCCTGGCCCTGGTCAGAGTATGTGCAGGAGGCAGCCAGTCGCCGTGTCCCTCTCACGTCGATGTCTCTCTCTGTCTCTCCCCCTCCCTCCCACTCTCTCTAAAGTCAGTGGGAAAATGTCCTCGAGTGAGGATTCACCGGTGAAATAAAACAATGTGAATCTTCTGGGCTATGCTGGTCCCCCACCCCCCGCTCTCTTAGACAATGCTTCTCTCCTGGTGCAGCAGGCAGCTCTGTGGCCCTGGGCGCCCGTGAACGGTCAGGAGTGACTTTGCCCGCGGGGCCCCACAGCAGCCTCCTCTCGTGTCCCCCCAGGTGGCCATCAAAGTCATCGACAAGAGGAGAGCCAGGAAGGACACCTACGTCACCAAGAACCTGCGGCGGGAGGGCCAGATCCAGCAGATGATCCGCCACCCCAACATCACGCAGCTGCTCGACATCCTGGAGACGGAGAACAGCTACTACCTGGTCATGGAGCTGTGTCCCGGCGGCAACCTCATGCACCGCATCTACGAGAAGAAGCGGCTGGAGGAGGCGGAGGCGCGAGGAGAGCCAGGAAGGACACCTACGTCACCAAGAACCTGCGGCGGGAGGGCCAGATCCAGCAGATGATCCGCCACCCCAACATCACGCAGCTGCTCGACATCCTGGAGACGGAGAACAGCTACTACCTGGTCATGGAGCTGTGTCCCGGCGGCAACCTCATGCACCGCATCTACGAGAAGAAGCGGCTGGAGGAGGCGGAGGCGCGCAGGTACATCCGGCAGCTCATCTCGGCCGTGGAGACCTGCACCG